TGAGTTGTTTTCCATGAATCACAAGAAGCCAACATCTAAGTTTGGCAGAACAGGGAAAGCCAGTGGAATGTTGACCTTTATTTCAAAGGGAATGTAGTGTAAAATTAGGGAGATTTTGCTAAAGGCACTAATCAGATCACAGCTGGCCCATGTAAAGATTGTAACTTTTTATTTCTGTGCTTTGTGAAACTGTGGACTGAAAAGAGAAAGAACTGTTTTGAAAACCAGGGATCTCCAAGGATGGCTGTATGTTTAGAAAGTAAGGAATTTGATGCCTATCATGAACCCTGTTTGTGAAGCTATTCATTCCAACTATGTGCAGATGAACTGGAGCCACAGAGTTGTTTATGAATGAAGCTGATGGATAACTGGTCTCTAGTCACAACAAACCAATGAAAAAGCTCCTCTGGCTGCCATCAGCGACGTGATTGGTTGTCAGCTAGCTGAACAGTTTCAATTGTGAACGAGATAGAGAGCAGCTTTGTCAAAACAAAAGAAAAACCAGCAGGTCTGAAGCAACTGGAAGTCTCAATCTCTCTCTATCCTCTGCAACAAGTCACTTTAAACCTGATGAAAACCAGCTTTTCTCTTTTCTTCAACAGTTACTGAAAACTGTGACTTTGAATTAGATAAGTTAGAGACTGTTTAGAAGTGAACCAGCCACCCTCGTTATAGTAATTCTTCTTAAGTACAGAAACCTGGCACCAATCTGGGTCTTAAAATCAGGTCATTTGGAGATTTTGCACATTTAGACCGAACGCTAACTTTTGTTACAACTCCAGGAATAGCTGTACTGGATTTCCAGCACACTACCCGAGCAAATTGTAATAGTCCCTTTGTCCGAGGAAAGGTAGACTGACATTGGAGGCAGCCCAAAGAACATTCACTCGGCTGATCCCGGACGTGGAGGGACTATCTTATGGGGAGAGGTTAGGCTCGTACTTGGAGTTTAGAAGAATGAGAGGGGTCTTTATTAAAAGATGCAAGATTTTTAATGGGACTTAGGGGAAATCAGTTGTTTTCCCTTGTAGAAGAGTCTAAGACCAAAGGATATAATCTCAGACTAAGGGGGTCACCCATTTAAGACAGAGATAGGGAAGAATTTCTTCAAAGGGTAGTGAATTTCTGGATTTTTTTTTTTTAAAAACCACAGAGGGGCTATGTAACTTTCAAACCGTCTGCCTCAGGTGGTGGTAGAAGCAAGATCATTGAATATTTTTTAACGGAGAGGTGAATAGATTCTTAGGAGACAAGGGAATCAAAGGTTGTTGGGGGCAGATGGGAAGGTGAATTTCCAAACAAATCCCATAAGCTGGGATTTTATTGAATGACATTACAGTATTGAAGGGTGAGTGGCTGTCTCCGCTTCTAATACATAAACACCTCCATGGAAGGCAAACACAATGATGCAAAAGGTTGGCCTTATGGGAAATATTGAAAAAACAAAGGCCTATTCCCCGGAGATGGTGCGATCAACTTATCTTTCCCATATGTACTTAGCGTTGGATGTTTGGAGAGGCCAGGACACACTTCCAAGGTTGGATCCATTACTGGAACAAATGTCATGATCTCACTAGCATAGCAGAGTGAGAAGGATGTGCTGATGGGCAACTCCAACTCCAACTCTGTGGGGTGAAAGGAGGAAAGAAGACAGTGATAATGACAACATTAATCAGTGATGTCACAAATTTCTATGCTCACACCCAAGTCCTGTTCACTTATCACCCCTATGCTTGCTGACCTATTTGATTTCAAGTTAAGCGACACCCTTGATTTTGAGATTCTTATCCTTCAATGGCCTTGCCTCTCCCTATCTCTAATCACTTCCAGCCCCAACAATCCTCATATCTATACTTCTCCCATGTTGGCCCCTTGTGAATCCCTGATTTTAAGCATCACATGAGAGAGGATGTTTCGGGAAACCTCAGAACTGGGGCATAGTCTCAGAATAAAGGGATGCCAGTTTAAGACTGAGATGAGGAGGAATTTCTTCTGTGGCTTGAGAGCCTTTGCCCTAACAGCTCTCTGTGGCAAGGACTTCCAGAGTCTGTGTATATTGAAGACTGAGGGATAGATTCTCGATCAGTCAGTAATCACTACAAAAAGGGAAAGGGCAGGAGAGTGGACGAGGAATGTCAGATCAGCTATAATCCTATTGAATGGTGGAGCAGGCTCAAAAGGCCCCAATGGCCTACTCCTGTTCCTAATGGTGATAGTTTAAAATGGTCTATAGCTGCCAAGGCTGCAAGCTCTGGCATTCCTAACCTAAGCCAAGTTGGCATCACAATTTGCCCTGAATAATTGATTTGTATCCAAGTCAGGTACTGACAGGTTCAAGTCCCACTTCAGAGCATAAACATTTTGGCTGATACTTACCCGGGACTGAGGCAGCACTCCTCCTATTCAGCTATTCACAAGTGGCTGCATTTGATGACAGAATGGAGGGCAAATAGGAGAAAGTCCTTAATGTATAATATTATAGTCAAGTATGTTTTGTTTTTAAAAGACATTTATTTACAAATGCTTTGTAATCAGTGTTTAAGTTGCAGAAATTGCTGATTTTATCTACATGTCTGCTCCCCCATAGAAGTAATTCCGGAGACCGTTTAATTCAAATTATATACTGTCACTGTCATTAAAAGAGTTTTCAAAAGCATTGGAGTTACTCCAAGGAATGAACCCTTGCGAAACTGAACCTATTTCTGCTTCCAGACAGACTGTTTGTACAATAGGGAGAAAAGAAGTGCTAATACTGGTTTTCTCACCAGAGAAAAACCAATTAATCACTTCTATGCTTCCAGAATTCAGCACCCTTATTTTCATTGTAATTTTTACATTTCAGTTTATTTGTAATTATTACAAGGGAGGACTTAAGCAGTCATACCTCCAAATTGTTTTGATACTTTCCATATGAATTAAGTACTTTAAAAACAGAACGGAACATCAATCCTGAGGGAACTCAAAAACTTGAACATCAGTTCATAGAATCCCTATAGTCTGGAAGCAGACTATTTGGCCCATCAAATCCACACTGACCATCAGAAGATCATCCCACCCCTCTACCTTATCCCTGTAACCTTGCATTTCCCATGGCTAAGCCACCAAATTTGTACATCCCTGGACACTCTGGGCAATTTAGCATGGCCATGCCACTTAACCTGCATACCTGAACAGTGGGAGGAATCCAAAGCAGACACGGGGAGAACGTGGAGTTTGCACAAGTCACCCAAGGCTGGAATCGACCCGAGGCTCTTATTGCTGTGAGGCAGCAATGCTAAGCACCGAGCCACCGTGCTACCCAAATCAGTCCAAGTTTTGGTCTCCCTATCAAAAGGCAGGATATACTTGCCATAGGGACAGTGCAGCAGAGGTTCACCAGACTGATCCCAGGGCTGGTCAAGAGAATAGATTAAGAGTATAAAACGCTAAGGGGTGTGCAGGAACCAAGACCTTGGTGTATATGTGCACAAGTCATTAAAGATGGCAGTACTAGCGAAGAGAATCACAAATAAAGCATACAGTATCATAAGCTTTATCAGTAGGAAAATAGAATACAATATCAGGGAGGTTATGCTGGATCTACACAAGGCACTACTTCAGCTAGAGTAGCGCGTACAATATGGGCATCACACTATAGCAAGGTTGTGAACACATTGGAAAGGAGCACAGACAAGTTTTACAGAAATGGTTCCAACGATGAGAAACTTCAATTCAGAGGACAGATTGGAGACAATTTCCTCACGACACCAGGATAGATGGTGATTTTATTTTAAAAACTATTGTGATGGCTCTGAACTGAATGGATGACTAATTGCTCCTAAAATGGACAGTGCAAGAGAGCAGAGATTTAAAATAATTTGCAAAATGTAGTAAGTCAGAAAAAAAAAGTTCATACAATGAGTACTTTAGGTGTAAATGCATTGCTCGAGTGCGGTGCAGGCTGGTTTGAGAGCGCATTATTTCTATTTAAATAATACTCAAGTGTGCAGGGTTGTGGGGGGCAAAGACTGGAGAATGGTATTTGATCATTTGAAGCATTAGTGCAGTCACAATAGGCCAAGTCGTCTTTTTCTGCTCCATAACAGTTCGGACATTCTCACAATCTCATCACCAATCCTTCTATTCCTAAAGAGATCATCAAATCAACATAAAGACACCTTTCTACTTGCACTCAAGTTACTACTGGCCTCCCCAGCAGCAGGTGACCTAATCCCCTGCTTTCCACCCTGATCCTACCAAATGCATTTTTTAAAATTGTGGATGCCAAGGAAACCCACTTGAAGCCTCTCCCGAGGCTATAAATCTATTGCTCAGCCGGAAAGTAATCAGATTGCTCTTTTTTTAAAAAAAAACTTCAGAGAGACGGTGTTGTGGTTATGTGCCTGAACTAGTAATGCAGATACCCAGGTTAATGCTCTGGGGACTTGGTTCTAAGTCGCACCCCAGCGACTGGTCTGAAATTGAAAGCTAACCTCTGTTTCACTAGTGTCCTTAGGGAAGGAAAGTGCTGTCCTTCTCTGGTCTGGCCTACATATGACAATACCCACAGCAGTGTGGTTGACTCTTAACTGCCCTCTGAATTGTCCAGTCAAGCCACTCAGTTCAAGGGTGATTCAATTCAAGGGACTGGCAAATGCCAGCTTTGCCAACAGATACCCACATGCCAAAAAAAGGGGGAAAAAAAAATAATTGATGGCCCAGTTGGAGGAGGAGGGCACCTGTTGTGAGGAGTGGGAACCCTGACTGATTTCATCAAGTGGTGCTTGAGCCAACAATGTCAGCACTTCCAATAAATCCAGGCACACCACCCCCCACCCCGGCACCCGCACCCCCCACAAACAAAAAGCTAAATCAACACATTGTAGGGATCAAATCAGATGTTCCTGATTTGGATGGCTCAACAAACCAAAGACACCGCACCAAGGAATTTAAAGATATTTTTCAAGCAATAAAGGTAAACACACATTCATTTTTTAAAAAAAAATGCAGTTTCAGAAAAGTGATTTGTACTTTTTATTTACATACCATATTTGGCACATTCCTTATTTATTAAAAGGCCTTGGATGATTCAAACAAGATGTGGAATCAAGTCAATTTCTAACATGAATCACTTTGGTCTTAGGAAATAGTGTGCAAGCTTGTACATAAGCTAATTGTGTCTCCAAAAAATGCTCAATTCCCAGGAACACTGCCTATGGCTGTAAATAAGTCAGAGATTGTTGTCTCTTTTAAAAGGGGAGACAAAGATGATCAAAAGTTGTCACTTTCAATGCACACGATGTAGGAGTTCTGCCAGAAAAAGGGTTTGTCCATGATTTGGGATTTTCAACATTCAAAATAGATCTGTTGTCAATAATAGATCTCTTTTCAACTATTCTGCAAGTCATGACATCACTTCATGGTGTTTTTAATACATCAAAATGGTTTAGAAATACACTATCAACCTTGAGGTATGTTAAGAGTTATCAACCAGATTTCCCCTTCAGACTGAAATACTTGAATTTCCTCATCATTTATCCTGTTGTTTCCACAAACTATTCTTCCCCCCCTGCCCCCCTCATGCTTCCTACTCCAGTTTATCTTAATTCTATTCCCCCCACCCCCACCTTTTCTAGCAAATAGGTGACCGACTTAGGGTTTCATGGGCACAGCCTGTCCCCTGTTCAACATTCACGTGTAGTTTCACAGCAAAAAGTTCAATATTCAGTGGTTCAGAGCAGAAATCATAGCTGATTTTCCCCCTTCCCTAGCCCAGGGACACCAAGCTAAATACAGTATCCCTTATTGTCACCCTGGCTGAGATCAGTGAACTCAACACAGAGCAGGGATCCAACTTCAGAACTACCTGCCCTGCATGGCTCAGCAGCCCGTTAATGGGGTTGTCCCAGAACCAAATCAGGGAAGCTGCTTTTCCTTATTCCTTCTTGATGTTCTCCAGAGTCGTGCTGGTGTGCTTTAGCCGTTTGTTTTGGTGGGTTTTGGTGTGTTTGGAGAGGTGATCACTCCTCATGAACCTTTTGCCACATTCTTGACAGCAGAAGCGCTTTTCCCCAGTGTGTGTCCGCAGATGTCGCTGCAGCTCATCAGACCTGGTGAAACTTTTCCCGCAAAGGAGCCAGTTGCAAACAAAGGGGCGTTCCCCAGCGTGCCATCGCAGGTGAGCCTTCAGGTGGGAAGTCTTTCCATAGACTTTCCCGCAGCCAGGAATGTGGCAGATATGCTGTTTCTTCTTCCCCTTTTCCCCACTGTTGTTGGGAGATTGGCAGTTGGGGCATCTACATCGCCTACAACGCCTGGAACAGTTTACAAGGCTCTTGGAAGAACTCTGGAGTGCGGTTGGCAACTGGGTTTGATGGCCTGGGATCAAGGGTCTTCCAAACTGGAGATGGTGAAGATGGAGAGGATCGGGTTGTTGCATGCTCCACCAAGGGATTTCATCAGCATGATTCGGAGATACATGTCTGGACTGCAAAGCGGAAGAACTGGAAATGAAGTTGGAGAAGTTTGGAGCAATTCCATTAGCAGTGTCAGGGTAAGAATAGGCACAACTTGCAGGAACTGAAGTTGTCAAAATCTTCATAGAAGACAGCTCAAACGTGTAGACCGATTCTGCTGGAGGGGTCAGGGGGAGTTCATGTGAACCCAAAGCTGATGGTGCCGTTCCACAGGAATACTGAGCCTTTGGAGGACTGAATGACATTGTGCGAGAGCCTCCAAATGCTTCATTGCTCCAAAACTGGAACATTCCTGGAGCGGACTCCATAGAAGGATCATATTGAAACGGAGGAATGTCTGCAGAGGTTGTTCTGACTCTTCCACAGGTGGCAGCCAACATGGACAAATGCGTTACTGATGCTGAAGAAAGAAAGATGGGTGTTCCTGCAAAAGGGAGGCAGGGGAGGGGATGAAATAAAGAGAAACGAGTAAAAGTTAAGTTTGGAATTCAAAAAAAAACAAAAAAAAAAAAACACACCAATAATAACTAACTTTATTACACTTTATACTCTACAAGAGGGAGATAACTTTATTTCCATTAACTGATTGTGGGGAAATTGAATGGGTACCTCCAGAAACCCACTTAGACCCACCTAGTGGCCAGAAACTGCCACTACATTGCAACAGTTAAAACACAGAACGGGAAATGTTAACAGCAATTTACAATAGTAAGTGTTGATCAAAAAAGGTGACAAACTGAACATTTGTGAACAGCAATTGAATATTTTTGACATAAAAGATACTTAGGCAGAAAACTCAGTTATCACTAAAATGGAACAAAGTCGGTGGGACCAAAGCTTCTGTTAGCAGATCAGGGAAACCACAAGAAATAGGAACAGGAACAGGGCTGATCGGACATTCCTCATGTCCACTTTCCTGCCCTTTTCCCGTAACCCTTGATTCCCCAACTGATCAAGAATCTATCTCAGCCTTAAAATATACACAAGGACTCTGCCCCCACAGTTCTCAATGGCAGGGAGTTCCAAAGACACTCAACCCTCATCTCAGTCTTAAATTGGTGCCCCTTTATTCTGAGACTACACCCTCTAGTACTAGACTCTCCCATGGGGGGAAACATCCTCTCAGCATTTACCCTATCAAGCTCCTTAAGAATCCGATGTTTTGATGAGATCACCTCATTTTCTCAACTCCAGTGAGGAGAGTCCCAACCTGCCTAGCCTTTGCTCATGAGACAATCCCTCCCTACCAGGGATCATCCTAGTGAACCTTCTCTGAACTGCCTCCAATGAAGTGATATCTTCCCTTAGATAATGGGACCAAATGCTCACAGTGCTCCAGATGTGGTCTCCCCAGCATCTCGTTGCGACTGTACGAGGCTTCCCTACTCTTATACTCCAACCCCCTTGAAATAAGGGCCAACATGCCATGAGCCTTCCCGATTCCCTGCTGGCCCTGAGCGCTAGCTTTCTGTGTTTAATGCCATAAACAGCTCGAGGCCTTGAGGTTTTTCACTTTCAAGAGTTGGAACAATAGGGTAGGCGATGACCGAGTGGTATCATCACTGGATGGTTAAGCCAGGTAATGTCTAGGGGACCCGGGTACGAATTCTGCCATGGCAGGTGGTGGAATTTAATTCCAGAAGAATTTTATTGAATTCAGAGTCTAATGATGACCAGGAATTGTCAGTTGTCAGAAAAACCCATCTGGTTCACTGTAAACGCCCTTTAGGGAAGGAAACTGTCATCCTTACCTGGTCTGGCCTACATGTGACTCTAGATCCACAGTGTGGTTGACTCGTAACTGCCCTCTGGACAATTAGGGATGGGCAATAAATACTGGCCTAGCTAGTAACACCCAAATCCTACGAACAAACGAACGAGCAGCCTGAATGGGTGGGGTCTGGCTCCCACAGAACTAGGAGTTTTAGTTTTAGTTTTTCAGTAGCAGTTGCTGGGGTCTTGAAGCTGGGTTTGGAAACTGCACTACATCAGTCTCTGCTTATCGCTGCATTTTCTGTTTTTGTTTTACCTCCTGGACTGGAGAATTGCCTGTGAGACAATGTATTTTACTGAATTTGCCTGTTGCCAAGGGTGTGTGTACAGAATGTTACTATATATTGGAACAGTTGAATCTTGAATCATAGAATCCCTAGTGTGGAAACAGCCCCTTTGGTCCAACAAGTCCACACCAACCCTCAGAGCATCCCTCCCAGACCCATCCTCCTATAACCCACCTAAGCTACACATCCCTGAACACTATGGGCAATTTCCCATGGCCAATCCACCCTAACCTGCACATCTTTGGACTGTGGGAGGAAACCGGAGGAAACCCACGCAGACACGGAGAACGTGCAAACTCCACATAGACAGTCGCCCGAGGCTGAAATCGAACCTGGGTCCCTGGCGCTGTGAGGCAGCAGTGCTAACCACTGAGCCACCGTGCCGTTAATAATTAGTTTGTTAAGTGTTGATAGTTGCAGTTAAGCCAATTATTTTTATTTTAACTGTAGTGTAAAAATACAGACAAAAGTGCATTTTGCTTAACATCAAATAGTTTGACCAATTATATTGCATCTGGAATGCAACACCTTACACTTACCTTTAAAAATAACAAAAGATTAGGGTCTAGACTATCTTCTGAACATATTTTGAGGGCATTTGGTCTGGTCCATAATCTAGTTGACAGGTCCCAACAGATCAAATAGTGTCTCACGGTAGATAGGGGTGTCTGTTGGAACACTAAGTGCATGTGTTAGCCACAGGAGGTCTGTGCCTCTGTTCCTCATGAATAACAAGAAACAGTGTATAGTATTAGTCTCTATTAATTAAAGGAAGACTGCAAAAAAGTGTGTTGGAAGCAGTTCAGGAGAAAGTTTACCAAAGTTATACCTGGAACAGTCAGGTTATTTTACAAGGAAAGATTAGACAGGCTTGGTTCATATCCAGTGGAGTTTAGAAGAGCAAGGGACAATGTGATTGAAACAAGATTCCGAGGAGGTCTTGACAGGATTGGGTGTGATGTCTAAAACTAGGAGTTACTGTTCCAAAAATAAAAAAAAAAAGGTGTTGCTGCTCAGTTAAACCACAAAGGCTAGTTTTTGAGGGTTGCAAGTCTTTGGAACTTTCTGCTTTCACCACCTTATTGAAAAAAAAAGTAGTGTCTTGAAGTATTTTGACAGGCAGAGAAAGGTTTTTGAGGAGCAAGGGGGTGAAAAGGTTATCTATGTTTCTTTTGCATGGCATAGCACGCTTAAAGGGCAGAGATGCCTACTACTGTTCTTAATTCGTATAGCCATACGTACACTTGTGGGGAAAGGCAAAAAACAGAAAAGAATCACCCAAGGTGGCCACTGCCACATTGCTGCAGGTGAACAGATGCCAGGTCTGCCAAAATGGTCTAGAAGAAACAGAGACAATATCAAAAGCAATAGGAGTAGCCCCTTGAGCCTGCTTTGTCATTCAGAAAGATCATGGATGGATTTTTAACCTTAGTTCCACTTTCCCCATACTATTCCCATTAATTCCCTTCAATCTGTCTTGAAGATCACAGAATCTCAGTGTGGAAGCAGGCCATTCAGCCCAGAGTACACACTGTCCCGCCGAAGAGCATCCCACCCAGACCCAGCCTATCCCTGTAACTCCTCATTTCCCCACAGCAAATCCACCTGACTTGCACATCTTTGGACTGTGGGAGGAAACCCACACAGACATGAGGAGAACATATAACAAAGATAGTCAATAACTGACCACCCACAGCCCTCAGGTAGAGGATTCCAAAAAGATTCACAAGTAAAAAAATTTCTCCTCAGTCCTGAACAATCAACTCCTTAATCTGAGACAAAAGGTCCCTCAAATCTCTCAGCATGTACTCCATCAAGCCCTCCCAATTTTACACAAAATCAATTATATCTCCTCTCATTCATCTAAACTTCAGAGATTATAGGCCCATTCTATGCTGTCATCCCAGAAACTAATCTAGTAGGCTACCAATAGTTACTGTCTAGGTTTGCCCATGACAATGAACTCGCTTGAGCAGTTAGCACATGGAATTGAACCTCAGCCTGAATAGACCAGTTATTTTATTGCAAGTAAACAGATATAGGTGATGCAAAGCTGGAATATCACCTTGAATTAAATGATGATTGTAGGACTCATAGGCCCAAGACTAAAAACTCAAAAGACCAATATTAAAAGGATTGACATCATTACATTTTTCCTTACAAACAAAAAAAGGTAACTTACATGGAAGAGACTCATGAAAAAGAGTGGAGTTGGCAAGAATCTTCAAATGGTCCAAGAGCAACTGGACATTTAGATGCGGTTGTGGGTTTGAAGTGGGCTTAAATTACCTTCCTCATCTGTAAGGATCTTAAAATAATTTTCTCAAGATTTAAGACTACACAATATTTAAGTGATTTTTTTTCAAAAATCTGGAAGTAATTTGAAAATATCAACAAGTGACATTTCATTCTTCACAAGACTTGAGGAATCTACGTTGATGGTTAAAATTAATTTACAAATCAGCCATAATGGATCTGACTTGATGTTAAATGCCCTCTTCCTTTTCCAACGATCAACTGATTGCTTCCCCATAAAAAAATTCCTATCTGAACCTTTCTTTAAAGAGCAGTTTTGTATTGATTGTAATGAGATCAGCCAGGTGGACCTCAGTGCGAGTTCTGACAGATACAAACAGGAGTGTCAGACATCCTGCTCACTCAGAGCTGGCTTGGAGGAAGCTGGATCAACATCAAGGTCTCACCGCATGTAAATAAAGCATGACTTGGTGATGGGATACCAGCCCCTGTAGAGTTCAGTTTTGCCAGGACTGGACCTTTCTGCATCCATTGTCAGCTGCGATTGGAAGAGCGACCGGAAAATTTGAAGTCATTACAGACTCTTACAACACCGGTGGCACCGCTGCTGGATCTGCCAGTGGGAGGCAGCTCAATGCACCCACATATGCTACTTGACCTCCTGGACGATGTTCCAATTTGTAATTATATGCACTTAGAATTAGAGCCAACTTCTGAATTTGGCCTGAAGGTATAGGCGGCTCTGCCTAGTCCTCAGAGTAGACTTAGTAGTGTTTGTGGTCCGCTATTATTACAAATTTATGTTGGTTATGGGTATTGGAACTTCCTGCCTCCAAACAGGACCACCAAATCTTCCTTCTCCATCTGGGTCTGCATTAGCAGAAGTCCTGGATGCATACACTAATGGATGTTCCTCTCCATTAGGCTACCTATGAGCTGATACTATCCTGATGCCATGCAGGGAGGCATCGTAAGTCAACACCAGATCTCACTTGGGATCTAGTATGCCAACACCTTAGAGGATGATAGCTGTTTCTCCACTTCCTTGATAACTACGGCTTGGCCACAACCATTTCCATTTCCAAGGCTGATCCTTATTTAAGGGTTGATGCAAAGATGCGAGGATAGAGGCCAGGTTATGTATGAATTTTCCTGTAATAGTTCACCAGCCCAAGGAAAGACCTAAGCTCCAATATACCTTTACTTGCCCTCACTTTATCTTCCACTGAAAAAAAAAGGCACATGCTGACGATACCCCAAAATGACACTCCTTTGTACAAACCCTTTGAGTATGAATTATAGCACATGTATAGGAATCCTGCTTTAACCACAATTGCAGGTACGCACGGCTCACGTCTAGCTTTGCGTATAAATCCTGAGAGGGATGTGATGGTGGTGGTGGTTGTTTATCCAGCTGGAAAAAGTGGTTTACCATTAGTTTAAAATCCCCACAAAAGGCGAACCAACCCACTGGGCTTCACAGTTGGTGCTGTCCATCCCACAAACTACACTGGTTTGATGGTTCCTTGGCTTTCCAGCCTTCTGATTTCTGCCTCTACTTTTGCCTGCAAGGCTAAATTGAACTAGTCAGGCCTTGCAGAATTATGGAATTGTTTCCGGATTACCATGCAAGGTAACTTTGGCTCCTTTGACAGTCCCTAGACCTTCCTGAAAAACCTTTGGGTATTTAATTAGGACTTCAATCAGGCAGTGATTTTCTAATTGAAGAAACATTGGTCGAGAAAGATTCACCTAGATTGGCTCAATTTCACCCCATCAGGGTTGGGCCCCAAGGTTTTTACTACATTGGTGGTAGCTGAACCAGCTGCTTCTCATATGGGCCACATGCTTGTTCAGGACCATCATACCACACTACAAGACCTGACCTTGCATCAACCATGCCTCTTACCCATGCAGGGCCATTCTTGTGGCTCATACACCAAACTTCATCTCCTGAAGGAAACTGGCTCTCTCTCACTTACTGGAGTCTTGTGTCCTCATATGACATCAGGAATGCCATTTCAAGTTTGTTTTTGCAAATAGTTCCCATTGGGGCAACCAGAAAGTCAGGTGTGATCATTTGTAGGATTGGAATCTGATTCTACACCGCCGCCACCCCCCATTCCCCAGAAAAATGCGTTAGTTCATTATTTCACCACTGAATCACTGCTGTTTTCTGCTATGAACACATTAGAAAATAATATATAAATCAAAGTATATTTAGACTAGAATGGAACCAGAAAGAGAAAAAAAAATATTTACAAAGCAAAACCCATCACACCCCCTGCAATAGCTCACTGCCTTAGTTCTTTCAATAAAGAAATTTCATCTGTGGGAGATGGGCATCACTGGCTAGGTTGGCAGTTATTGCCCTGAGGGCAGTTAAGAGGCAGCCACATTGCTGTGGGTCTGGAGTCACATGTAGGGTAGACCAGATTAGGGAAGGGAGTCTGCCTTCCTTAAGAGGACATGACTGAACCAGATTGATTGTTGTAAATTAAGTATGGTCACCATTAGACTAGCATTTTATTCCAGACCTTTCTTGTTTCCCCACCAAAAGAAATGAATTCAAATGCCACCATCTACAATGGTATGATTCAAACCATGTCCCCAGAACATTAGCCTGCAGTCATTAAACTAGTAACCCAGAACATGACCACCACTTCCTTGTGTGCATCCCAAGCATTTTACTGAGCAGCAAGTTTACAGATCAGTCTCTTGGTGGATTAGTGAAGCTCATTCAGGTTGGGAGGGACAAGAAATATCTGCCAGAAGTGCTGACACACAATACGTTCCACTAACCCATATTGTTAAAAGAAGTAAATGTAGGTAGATATCCATTAATAGGATTTGACCCACATACAATATACACTACATTCAAATATCTTGTCCACCTCCAAATATCTGAACTCAAGTGAAGAGCAAGCCACTTAATTCCCCAAAGGTCTGCACCTTGGAGAAAGTTAGACAAAAAAAAACTAAAAGTTTGTGGGTAATTTTAAAATACTGGCAACATTTAAAATTAAGCTGTAGGTGTCGAGCAGCATTGAAGTACTGAACATGAATTTAGGAAACAGTAGCAAGAATTGTCCCAAGATCGTTCCTCACTTAAAAAAAAAAGGGGGTGGATTGCAACATCTTGTGAAAGCATTCACTACTGGCAAGAACTCTATGGGCGGCAGGCAAACTGCATGAGAATTTAATGATTTAATATTAAACTAATTCTGACACTTATCAAAATGCAACATGCTTTGTTCCTGGGATTCAATACTAGTCTTGGTGCAAGAGCTTTGTTACATAGTTATCTGGTCATGAGACATTTTCAAAAAAAATCTAATTGCTTATTTTTTCCTCTCCACAATTCATGGTCACTGAAATCCCATTGCAGCGAGTGACATTACACGTTTCTGAAGAAGGGTCTAGACCCAAATCATCAGCCTTCCTGCTCCTCTGATGCTGCTTGGCCTGCTGTGTTCATCCAGCTCTACACCTTGTTATCTCAGATGTTACACAAGATGTGTTTCAGAAGGCAATTTCAACCAATATGGTAGCTAACAGATGTAAACCATGCCAAAAAGCTTCCAATTAGCCAGAATTCACAAGAAAATATTCAGCCGACAAAGGATTAACAGATCAAATAGAAATAATACCACTTTGAATTCCTCATCTATTCAAGTAAATTTAATTGATTGCACTTCTAGCAAAACAATGCTAGGATCACAGAATTAATCCTTCACCCAGGGAATTTTGATCATTTCTATAGTATGAAATAGACAAAGGCAATTCTCCACTTTATATTCAGAAAAATCTACATTTTGTAGGTAGTCTCTGTTAAAGTTGATAACTTTATCCTACAATACATTGGAGTAGCTACAATAAGTGACATCAACTCATTACAGGAAAAATCAAAAACAATTAAGCAGCTAAATGAATAAGGACAGATGTCCTTTGTTTTATTACAACAGAGGCCTGTGTCTGACTAGGTGAGTTAGCTAGACAGCGGAGATAACAAGGTGTAGATCTGGATGAACACACCAGGCCACGCAGCATCAGAGAAGCAGGAAGGCTGACGTTTCAAGCCTAGACCCTTCTTCGGGGAAGGGGAAGGGGAATCTGAAATAAATAGAGAGAGGGGGAGGCAGATGGAAGATGGATAAAGGAGCGGATAGGTGGGGAGGAGACAGACAGGTCAAAGAGGTGGGGATGGAGGCAGTAAAGGCGCGTGTCGGTGGGGATAGGTCAATCCAGGGAGGACGGACAGGTCAAGGAGGCAGGTAGGGGTCTGGTTTGCTTATGCAGAGTGATGCCAACAGCATGGGTTCAATTCCTGCACTGGCTTGAGGGTTACTGTCAAGGTCTCAACTTCCGTCCTTGTTGGAGGTATGGTGACCCTCTGCTTACATTGCCACCAGTCACCTCTGTCTAATGAGAGGGACAAAATGAACCTATGGTCTTCTGGGACTATGACAACTTTACTTACAAGTGCGCAGTGTTTTCAGACAGGTTTTAAGAGGTAACTCAATACTATTTACTCTAGTCTTGAAGTGAAGTTTCCAAAAAAAGAAGCCTGAAAGTATGATTGTATGTAAATGCAAGTTAAAAGCTGACCAAAGTCACATTGATTCAAATAAAGTACTAATTTAGCCTCCGTTAATTCACACCCTGGTTAGACTTCACAATGGGTCTTCAGTGGAATATAGCCCTTGGTGTGCTTTAGAGGTTGACCACAGATGTTAGTTTTTGACTGCACCACCATTCCAAATTCATAGGTGTGAGCTTGTACCCAAGTTGGTAGCACTCTTATTGGAGTCTGAAGGTTTAGGTACACTATCACTTCAGATTTGATTAAAACAATTTGGTTAAAACAACCCAAAAGCAGGATTAGGTTAGGATACAATGCCACAGTGAGGCATGAATATACTTGTGCGCTTACACAGTCAATATTTATAAGACGAGAAGGCCGGGGGTGGGGGAGGGGAGGAAAACAAACATTATATAACCAATTTAATTTGCAACACAGGTGGCCATTCAGTCCATTAATCCACACCAGCTGCCTGTGGAGCAAACTATTGACATTTTGGAGGAGGTTGGATTTGGTTTATTTTAAATCCACAGTGGTGGATTTCTTACCTAGGAGAAAGCAGGCTCTGTATTGAGGAAAAGAATTTAACCTAATCCTCTTCACTTGTACTATACAGGTTTCGGGGAGGGACAAAGGAGAGAAAGGAAAAAAAAACGAAACAAAATAACCACTTTGAAGCTCTTAGTTGGAGATTTGACTTTAAAGTCAGAAAAACATTAGAAATTACAGCATGTGATCTTGAAGACCACTACACTTGCATCAACCCCAGCTGCTCAACTAAAGATTTCTACACTCTTAAAATTAATCTTAACTCCTGCCTCAGCCACTTGAGCTTCACACTCAAACCCCTAGAGTTCAAACAATTATTTGAAACTGTGCACACTACTTTGATCTCAGTGTGGGTCACCTTCACAGCTACCAACTCAACAAACGGAGGGAAAACTAAAAAACACTTTTCACTATTAACACAATCTTTCAAATATGTTAAAAGACCTCATTAGATCACCCTCATCCCCTCTGTCCTAGTGAGGGGAGGTTCACTGTTTCAACCCTTTTACATCTAGATCCTAGTTTGGATAATGCTGAGCCCATTTTACACAGCACACAAAAAGACAGAAGGGCACCAATTTAAGATAACTTCAGAAGACAGCCAGAGACGAATGGAGGAGCAGAGACAAGGTGCAGGGCTGGATGAACACAGCAGGCCAAGCAGCATCATAGGAGCAGATTCTTTTCAGCAAGTTATGAAAGAGCATTAGAAACAAATCCAAAAAGTAAACTTGTTTAAAAGTAATTGGATATGTACTTGAAGGGCAGACAATTTAAGAGCGACAGAGAAAGAACAAAGCATTAGCACAATGGTCTTATTCTGTGCTGCAAATCATTAGGATGTAGAAAAAAGGTATCCAGAACAAAACAAAAACTGGGAAAAGAAATTGGGTATTTTACACTTTTGTTCTCCTAAACGCTTGGCTACTCAACAGGTTTTACTTGTTTAAACGTTAAGCAGCTCACAATAATTAGTACTTACAATTAGCACACAATCAACTACTCTTTAGCAGGAAGTTATATCCTAATAAAATTCATTCCACATTCTGATTTAAAAAAAACAAACCAAAAAACTTGCTGCGTGTTCTTTGAAAGTCTCCTTACTAAGGATAAATCCTTATACAAAGGATGAAAGGCATTGCCCGTTATAATGCATTAAAACACACATAACTGCATAACTCGAGTTAAAGTGCGAAATCTGTCCACGCGATTGAAGTGAAAAAAAACAGAATTCCCAATTAAACACACGAGAGTTGGCAAAATTCCCTCGAGAACGGATAAGTACTTAAAACGAGACAAAGTGATGAAGCTGTACATGAGCTTCTTTCACAGTAGTATCGTGATCATTTACTGTGGGATCCGGATGCTACATTTAACAAAAAGTTTTCTAAAAATAAACTGATTTATAAAACCCACATTTAAAAAAAAAGTGACTAAACTTTAGGACGCCGCGGTCGTGAGACGCTATATAAATGCAACTGGTTGGAAACTGCAGGTACGCCATACGTTCCTCCTTTCGCTAATTATCTTTTTCACAAAGTTAGTCACTTTGGCGGAAGGAGGGGAACAGATTTAAATTCACAGCAAAAGTCCTGACTGATCTCAGGATCCAAAAAGTGGTGGAAATCAACTGGATGAAAAAAAGATTAATTCAAACCGCAATAAACGTAGAAAGGAAGTGAACCGGCGCTGCTTAGAATCCGACACATAATAAAACATCTTGATTTGAAACTAAAATGTGCCGAGGGCAAATTTGGAGGGGAACAGTAATAACAATCTGTTGGCAGGACACATTAAAAAAAACAAACAGAGGTAGTAAACTCAACTTGACATTGAACATATTTAAGATGATATTAAACTGACCTGTGAAAGGAACTTGCAGATAACTCTCAACCCACAAGCGCGTCCATTCACCAGAAAACTGAGCAAATTTTCAAATAGAGAAAATCACCTCTCCTTGACTACTTCCTGGCTCTAAGCTTTGTTCATTAGGATATAATTTGTTTTCTTTTCCCTAAAAAAGACAAAAGTTTTTGGCCCCTTATGAGCCAGTAAAAGGCAGGGATCTCAAAGTCAGCCGCCTCGCAGTCATTTGAATGGCTTGGGCCCTTTTCAATCAGAACTCATCACCATCTGGGTGATCTCCACATACAGAGATAATTGGCTTGACTTGATCAAAAAATGGGAACCGTCCCACAGGAAATCAGCCTTGGTTCATAGCACAGTTTGCAGTGCAATAATTGAAAGTTTTAAACCTAGTTAAGGGGTTAAAAACAATGTAAACGCGCACACATATCAAAAAAAGAGAGAAATTTAATTTCAATTCAATTAGTTTCAAAATCAATTCAAATCAGGATTTTTAAAAAACCCACATTCGATTCAAAATACTTAAAAAGCTCACCTTCGCGTTTTGCAGCAAAACCTCACTTTTGATGTACAGGTATGTATTATCCGTCGGGATAGTAACCCGAGCTTGGCGAATTCGTTGGAGACAGTCGTTCGGCAAGAGTTCTCCGTTAGAAAGAATCTGCAGCTTTCATGTTCGGTTCAGTCGGTTTTTGAAGGCGTTAAGAAGGGGCCGCTTTCTTGAGGGGAAAGTCGCCCCTCGTTTTGGTGCTCAGGGCTGGTGCAAACACTCGGATGCCCAGGCGAGCCTTGCCTCTCCCTTCCAAAATAAAT